AAAGTGATCTATTACAAAGCATTTTTTTTCTGCCAAGATAATTTTTTTGTCAAAGTTAAGATGTTCGACCAAGCTTTTAAAAAGAAAAAAAATATTTTTATAGAAGTAGAACAAAAGTACTTTTAGGAAAAAACATTATTTGATTATACATTTGATTAATCATGTTAGCTATCGGCAGCCATAAAACAGATTAGACCAAGTGAATATTTATACATAGAAGAAGTCAAAATCAGGACGAAGTGATGGAGAGTATAAAAATATCTTAGATAACTAATTTGAGTATTACGTAAATCGTGAGACATAAAATCAGGATGAAGTGATTTTTTGAATGAGAAGAAACGTGCACCATAGAAAAATATCAAACTAGACGAAGTAATTAACAAAGCCTTCTTCTATGGCTAACCTTCCCATCATCAATCTCCCACAATCCAAGCAAATATTAATATCCTTTACTAACTTATCTTCACACTTTTATCCCTACTCAAAGGTTCATTTTCAGCGGCAAATATTGAATAAGAACACCAAATCATATAATTATCGTCTCTTTTCTCGGAGAAGCTTTGTGGAATACGAAGAAGAAGACAATCTAAACTCAGAAAATTGTAGTTTCCAAGAAGCTGTCGCACTTTTCAATAGCAGAGATTATTACAGGTAGAGCTACCAAATGGAATTTTAAATTTGAACAGATTAAAATGGGACATATATTATGATTCAACTTGCTCAAAATTTATTTCGGTGGGTCAATATTATGATTCAACTTGCTCAAAATTTATTTCGGTGGGTCAATATTATGATTCAACTTGCTCAAAATTTACTTCGGTGGGTCAAATGAGGATTATAACCTAATCCGTCCAATATGACCCAACTTCTCCTCCTTTCTATTTTGCTTTATGCATAAAAAAATAAAAAAGGATTTTTTCATTCCTATACGCTATTGGAAACTTTATTATCCTAAATGTTCATGTTTAGTAAATTACCCTACCTACACAAATTTTGTTTACAAAATATTTACATTCCACCTTAAAAGGCTCTCAAACCATTATTAGTGCCTTCAATTAAGGGATTTAGTTACACCCTTTACCTTTTTCTTGGGAGTTGTCCTCGAGCTATCTCAGTTTTTTGTGGATGTCCTGTTTCCAAGTTCAACACAATTCTCCCAACATGCTAAAAAGATACATTATGCATGTCTAAAAAATGTTTATTTTCTTTTTAATGTTATGTGATAATAAATTTCAACAGAAAAATATATTCTCTTTCTTAAATTTTATAAAATTAAATACATAAGAATTTTCTATTTGTATGTTTAATGTGTTTCTTAGTGATCAATTTTAATATATAGTAGTAATAGATATATATAATCTTTATGAAAACTAAGACGTAATATCCTCTTAAAATAAATATATTATTCAAACTAATAATTGTGTAAGATTTTCATTTTCATAATATAGAAGGTGTAAGATTTTAATTTTAAAATATCACACATGTATAACCCTTTTGAATATTAGCTTGGACCTTTTCCATAAATCTAAACATTTTTTCTTGGCGGATATTAGGAAGAAGAATCGCAAACTGCAGATCCTTTATACTACCTAACTCTGAAATGTGAGATAAATCTGAGATTTTGTCAGTGTCGAGTCTTAGCTCGCCGGGTCTCTCATTCTCTCTTCCATGATCTTCAAGTCAATCAGTTGAGTATTGTTAAGAGTGTGATAAACAAGGAGAGAAAGGAGTAGAGCATGAGGCCGATGAATTTGGTGGCCAGAGATCGAATTGAGGCATTTGTTTCATTTTTCGTCACTCCCAACATGCTTAAACATATCTTGTATCTGATACAAATTTGTGCGGTAGAAGTTTTTCCTAAGGAAAAAATATTTCTGTTCAAGTCTTTAAAGATATCCAGTTAAATACAACTACAATACTATACAACTTAAATGCAAATTTTATACAGAATTTATACAATATTCTTTTGTATATTTTGTATCTGATTTATACATAGTATAAACAAATTTCATACAACTAATTATATATTATACAATTATCTAAAACTTATCTACAACTTTCACACATTATTTCTACCCAGTTAAATACAACTACAATAACGTACAAATTAAATACAAATTTTATACAAAATTTATACAATATATCTTTTGTATATTTTGTATCTGATTTATACATTGTTAAAACAAATTTCATACAACTAATTATATATTATACAACTTATCTACAATTTTCATATATTATTTCTACTCAGTTATATACAACTACAATATCATACAACTTAAATATAATTTTTATACAATATTGTTCAACTTTCATAAAATAATTAAATTTTATATATATATAAATATATAAACAACAGAATACAATTTTACTACAATTTCGTAAATATAATGTATATCATGTCTTCTTCTTCTTCTTCTTCTTCTTCTTCTTCTTCTTCTTCTTCTTCTTCTTCTTCTTCTTCTTCTTCTTCTTCTTCGAGTTTCAATCTGAAATTCAGCCAAAACCAAGTCTAATCTTCACCAAAACCCCTCAAAATTGAGATATAAACTCCAAACCATATTCCCAATTATTTGCAACAACACCCAATCCAAACAAATAATGATTTTTAAAAACCCAAATTCGAATTCAAAGCTTCAAAGCTTTTTAATGGCTGTCAATGGTGGAATTGCTGCTCTTTTTTTCTTTGCTTTACATTGCTGAAATTAGGATTGAGAGATAGAGAGAGACGTAGAGAGAATTCCCAATTCTTTGCAACAATATCCAATTCAAACAAATAATATTTTTTTGAAAACCCAAATTCGAATTCAAAACTTCAAAGCTTTTTAATGATTGTCAATGGTGGAATCGTGGATGGGTGCAAGATACGTGGGGGAGGAGAGTGGGATGTGGAGGGAGAAACGTGGGGGAGGAGAGTGGGATGTGGAGGGAGAAACGTGGGGGAGTGGAAGATACGTTAGAGTAATTTTAGGACACTAATTATTATCATTAATTCCCTTAAAATGTACATAAATGGTAATTGGGTATATAAAATATAATTATAGTAAAACTTGAATAGGGAGGGTAATATAGTTTCATATAGTGTATAGGAATGTAAAAATTCCTAAAAAAAGTGCCCACTAACTTGGTAAAAATTAAGGGGTTTTGACACAGTTACCCACAAAAATAAAACTATTTACCCTTGTCTACCCATTTGTTTTTCTACCCATAAACTAATTACATTTCCTACCCNCCCAATTCTTTGCAACAACATCCAATTCAAACAAATAATGTTTTTTGAAAACCCAAATTCGAATTCAAAGCTTCAAAGTTTTTAATGGTTGTTAATGGTGGAATCGTGGATGGGTGCAAGATACGTTTGGGAGGGGGTGGGATGTGGAGAGAGAAACGTGAGGGAGTGGAAGATACGTTAGAGTAATTTTAGGACACTAATTATTATCATTAATTCCCTTAAAATGTACATAAATAGTAATTTGGTATATAAAATGTAATTATAGTTAAACTTGAGTAGGGAGGGTAATATAATTTCATATATTGTATAGGAATGTAAAAATTCCAACAAAAAAAAAAGGAGAAAGTTAATGTATTTTTTCTTAAATTATTAACCTAAGTTTTTCCAAATTTACATAATTCTCCATTTCCAAATTTTATTTTATATGTTTGGGTTTGGATTGGATTTTGACCCCCCGAGTTATACTATTTAGACCCGATAATTTGTACTATGAGTTTTTTTAACATTATCTGCATCATCGGTTTTTCAGACCACTCTTTAAATTTTGTCTCTAATTAAATCAATGGGTTAAATTTTGCATTTTTTCCAGATAAATTTAGTAAAGGGGAGACTTAATTAAGATAGTGGCTTCAAAATAGGGCATTTGTGCAAATGCCTAGTCAATTAAACAAATGGATCATGATCCAAACCAACCTGTTTAAATTTGGAAAAATTACATTACAGATGTCATGACGTTCTTGAAGCCCTTTGGAAGGAATCCCAAGAGCCAATTCGAACTCTACTTCATGGAATTCTTCAATGTGCAGTTGGATTCCATCACCTTTTCAACCAAAATCACAAAGGAGCTATGATGGAATTGGGAGAAGGCCTATGTAAGCTTAGAAAATTTAATTTTGAAAATGGACCATTTTATGAGTTTGAAAAAGAAATTTCACAAGTTTTGGATTTCATATATAGAACACAACTAGAACTTGCTGCATGTGGTGATGATATTTGTGTAACTCTTGATCAATCAGAAAGATCATATCAACTTCTTGGTGGCTATGCAGCAGGCCAAAAAATTTATAACTTGGAAAATGACCAAGATGATCTTTACCTTGTTTTTTCTGGAAGATATCATGGAAATAATACAGAAAATCCCAGGATAAAACTTCCAACAATTGATGCTTCTCAAGGAAATTTGAAGGAGTTAGAGTATACTTGACAATAGTGGTAGACGCAGGATTTTGTATCGACCTATTATTACAGTTAAGTTATTAAATGAGTTTGGAGGATTTTAAGATTTTGCTTTATGTCGTTAATTGATTTTTTTTTCTTTTCATTATTTTCAGTAGTGTTTGTCTAATATACATCTGTACAGCAAGGACAGCTTGGTGTATTAAGCTCTCGCTATGCGCGGGATCCCGGGAAGAGCCGGACCACAAGGGTCTATTATATGCAGATTTATACAGCATTATTGTTTTTCCAAAAATTTTATTTACGTATGTTTAGTGAATTTGACTTCTCTTGTGGATTCGCCACTATTTACAACTAGGGTAGGGGTGTATAAAGAAAATCGATAAATAGTATCAAAGTGATAGTTCGAGTTAAACCAGGAAAAACCCAATCAATGGTTCGATTTTAACTAAAAAAAGTCAAATCAAAATCAAACCAACCTGACCTTATATGTACACTATTTTTAAAAATATTTATTGTAATATAATATATAAATATCTCTTAAACTTTTTCATAATTTTTGTCTTTTAATATATTGTTTTAGACTTAGACTTAGAATTTTTGAATGATTCAACAAGTTTTATACGTTATAGATTTTAGTAACTCAAAATAAAGTTTAAACCAAAACCAAATTAATAGTAATGCTAACAAAAGAAATTCAACCCAATAGTGTACGTTTGTTTTCATCATGCCATTTCATTATCTTTGTTGTTTAATATTTTGATACAATGCATGACTTATAATTTTCTTAGGAAACACCTTATCTAGTTGTACTTGTATTTTAATAGGACTAAAGAAATATTTGAAGCACAAGTTATATGTCTTGTGCTATGAATTTACAGAAAAAAATCCAAAACCACAAAAAAAAAATCGGTAAAACTGAGAAAAATCGAACTTGAAAACTCCGATTTTTGTTGGTTTGGCTTATAAATTTAAAAACCCGACACAATTAATTTAGTTTGGTACTTGAAAAATCCGAACCAAGCCGACCTAAATACACCTCTATTGACAACCATGTTACATATATGTGTGTGTATCCTTCTCTTTATTCTTTGATTTTCTGTTAAACATTTTGGTTTATATCTTGTTTTATAATTTAACATTTAATTTGGAACTCGGATATCATTATATATTCTTTCTCATTAATTTGCCCGAGTTAAATACAGAATTCAAGAAGCGAATATCGTCAATTTTTTCTTCTTTTTTTTTTGGACTAACCCTGTTCAACACTAAAACGGAGAAGAGTTACTGCGCAACTTCATAAAACAATTCCAAAACTCATCAAAGTCTTCTAATCCGTTTCGTGTAGCCAAACCTTTGGGTGATTAGAAATGCCTTTTTTTAACTTAATTAATAATTTTCTCATCATGCATATTTATATTATTAATCTATTTCAAAATGTTTTCCTTTTCTGGAAGTTATTAGGAAAAGTTAAATCCGTTATCGGTTAGGATTAAGGTTATTGACATGTCTATATATATTAAAGTGATTAGTTTTTTTTTTCATTCTTCTTACGCTGTTTGTTCAATCAAATTTTAGATATGGAGAGTAGTAATTATCTACCGTGGTTGTCACCTTTATTAAATACTGATTTTTATAAACCCCATAACCACTGTGAGGCACATAATAATCAGTATTGTACCCGTTTTTGTAAGAACTGCAGAAGCAAACCTCTTTGTGAATTATGTTGGAAGGTTTCTTGGCACGAAGGTCACCAACTTTTGCAGGTAAGTTTTTCACCAATAAATAAAAGTTTTTTCTTTTATTTTAAATGAGTATCTTTTGTTGAACTGTGTTACCATCTTAATGTCGAGTTTTTTTTTTTTCTGCTTTCGGCATTTTGAACTGAAAACCTGCCTAGTTAATGATAGTTTTGTTTGTCAATGCAGATATTTAAAGTTTCTGAGAAAGCATCAGTGCGAAAAGTAGATATAGAAAAGGAGGTGGACATTCAACCCTATATAATAAACAATCATAAGGTTATGCTGCTGAAACCAAAAGAAGGAAATGGCGGAAATCCCAAGTGTTTTTCATGCCAAGGGAGAATAAAGGACGAAGAATATCTATATTGCTCGATTGCTTGTAAAGTAAGAAGCAAGAGAATTAATTTCCCCTGTAATGCCAAAACTGTTAAAGCTGAATGCTTAGCTCCGAGTTATAGTCTAAGAAAAAGACCAAGAAAGAGAACGCCTCGGAGATCGCCTTTATTATAAGAAAGAAAAAAAAAAAATGATGTATTTGTGTGTTACAACCAGTTAGCGCAGGTATGCATACTATAAGCTATGGATTCAGACGAACTCAATAGCTTCGGCTTAAGCTTAGTCGATTTATTAAGAAATCTATGTAAATATTAAATTTTGAGTCTTGTAATTCAAATGGTCAATGAGTTCAATAGCATCCCAAACCAATAAAGTTTAAATCTTGAATTTACCTCTAAGTCAATGTATTTTACTGATTGCGTGCTAATTTTGCAGACGCAACAGCACTTCTTCGTCTTGTCAACTATAAATAGATTTCATGAGCATCTAATATGATTCCGTGATCTTAGAGTATTTTAATGTCTACACAATATTATAATATTTGAACCTTTTTTTTTCCTATGTCAAACATCCGCATTAGGGTCCTGACCAACTAAATTCGCACAACATAAGAACCAGTAAAGGAAAAAGACTAAAATACCAGAAGTTTTTTCATTTACGGGGCTTGAACCTAAAACCTCGAAAGATTCTATCCATGTCACCATAACCCATGGTGATAGCAATATTTGAAGTTAAAACCGAAGAAGAGTTGCTTGGACCTTTTTCTTCTGCATGGAAGGCAATGGGAGTATAATCGATTGTTACCATTGATTAACCAAATTCAAGCTACTGTATATCCTAGAGTGAATCGGATTTACACTTGCAATTGATAGTTGATACCATATTAACACTGGAAATTTGGCTGAAAACAACAACCCTCACATATTGAGATATATAATATGCAATTACTAATTGGAACTAAACTTCCAATTAATATTAAGCCCAAACATTTGCAGTCATGGAAGTCTAGAAGACCACCTTAATAGTGGCATGAAATGATTCAGAGCTGGAGCTCAACGATATCATGATATACAGCAACTTCTTTTTTTTCTTTCTTGTTCACTATATACAGCAACTTTTACTATTCAGAGTGATCTATTCCAAGTATATCAAACAACAGACTGCAGATTTCTAAGCATAGAGAAAGGCACATCTTCTTAATTTTGCATGGGCAACCCGATGCACAAAGCATCCCACATTCAGACAGGATCAGGGGAAGGATCAGGGGAAGGGTCGCACCCCAAAGGGTGTGATGTAATCAGCCTACCCTGATGCAAGCATCAGTGGCTGATTCCACGACTCGAATTTGTGACCTATAGGTCACATAGAGAAACTTTACCGTTGTTCCAAGGTTCCCTTCCCTTCTGAATTTTGCATGCAATTTCCAAATTACCGAACATAGAGAAACTTTACCGTTGTTCCAAGGCTCCCCTTCCCTTCTGAATTTTGCATGCAATTTCCAAATTACCGACCAACCGAAAAAAGTAAAGGGAAATAAGTCTGGTAACAAGGGATATGTGTTCTCTACAGAACAAAACCTTCTAATAGACATTAATAAAAATTCATAACATAGTTAATATGGACAGACTGAATTTACCGATACCTTCATAGGAAAGAGGCTGTGAAATGTTTGACATTACACTGTCATTAGTGTTGTAGGGTAGCAAAGAAGCCAATTAGCAAATACTTTTCTATGGTTCGTTATCTTCCATTTCATGATAGACTGCCTGTACTAGGAGATATCCACTATGAACAGAACGTGCAATATGCCTCAGATAAGTTTTTCAGCCAATGGGGCCTTGTATTCATGTTAGATCCTAAAAAAAAAGATAATATTTGGAGGATCTAACACGGTGCGACGACATTTTTAAGGAGGCGAGCAACATAGTGTCCATTACATAATTAAAATAGACATACCTATAAATAACTCCAGCACTTCCCCATCAACAAGAAATAAATTACCCGGTACGCTAAAAAATGAAAAGTTACACTTCTAGTCCATCTCGGTCAATAAAGCAGATACATGATAGTTGGAAATATTACTGCTAAAATCATCACAATGAATGGATTCACTCTGTAAATTGTAAACTGAAGAGTCCCCACCCCCACCCCCACCCCACCCCCCTGTCCCTTAAACATGCCAATTCTGGAGAGAGACTTTGGATTACCACAGCTAATATGCATAGAGTAGTCTAGGAAAGTGGCATTAGAAAGGCTATTTACAGTGGAAGTTTGGGAGATGGTTATGAAAGGTTTTGCATGCCAGCTCCTGCCTATTTTAATGCAAAAGCGAAGATGAAGTTTGTCCAAATAGGGATGATTAAGAAGACACCCTAGAAAAATAATGAAATGAAAATAGACATTTAAAGAGAACACTCGGGTATGGTAAACAAAACAAAAAAGTGAAGTCTTTCCCTCGAGGAACATGATTAGTGAAAATTCATATAGCCGGTCCCAATTTGTTTGGAACAAAGGTGAAGTTGCTGCAGTTTCTGCAATTAGTTGTCACTTGCTGTATAATACTTCTAACTTTCTGCTAACCATTGTTCATTTCAATAGTATGTTAACTTATTCTTATTCTTTTACAATTATTAATATGCAAGACAGCAAATAATCAATATAGTTGATTCATTGTTCAAAGAAAGACGCAAACTCAACCAGCAGCAAGATTACACAACCAAGGGCGCGCTCTTAATCCACACGATTAACATTAAATGATAGGAATATCTAAAGCTTCATAATAGGAATGTCTATGCAGTGTGGTGCAATTTTTATACTCATAATCATAGCTTATTATATCAAGACTAATTATGAATATAGCTAGACATTTTCTCAAGACACAAACCATGGTTTAATCCATGTCAGCCAAAATGATTAAACAGAACCTTGTGTCACTTGATACTTTCTTGGCAAATTATCATTATACAGGTGTGTCTAACGTTCTACATCCAATTATCAAATGATTATTGATCTGTTTTATAGTTGCAATTAGTTGTGTCCTACTTGGTTTTTTATTAAAACATGGTTATGCGCATTTTTGTTATCTAAGAGGTACGTTGTACCTAACATATATATATCAGACAGCAGAGTAGATTTTAACTAAATTTTCATTAACCTTCACGGTCAGAACTTACAGTTGTCTGTTGGTAGTTGGTAATAAGGGTCTGTGGACCCCTTAGAAAGAAGCTACTGGAGCTGTTCTCTATAGCATGCGGAGGCATCTCCGATACCTCCTTTGACCTACCTACAAGGGGAAGATTGGAGAGATGGTCACCCCAGATATCATAAATAAACTTTTCCTCCAACCCCATCTTTTCATCAGTTTTAACTGCCACCTGATTTTGAGGTTTAGATCCAGGAGCTCGCAGATGTGGAGCAATTATAGAACTTGAAGCCAATAGTGGTTGACGACACATCAAGCGAGGAGCAGATTTATCAGCAGAAGGGAAGGTTGCTGAAGGCAACAGAGCAGGTTTGCTAGCTAATTTCTTTGGTGCAGCAGGCTTCTCTTGACGAGGAAAACAAGCATTTTTGCCACCATATGTTACTGTCGCCTTTGTCTCAGGTACATTCTTCTGACATGCAAATGCGGAGTGAGTACTCTTTTTACATTGATCGTTACCAACATCAGCAAAGGGATTGCTGAGCTTAGCAGATCTATCCACATCAGTAGACTGTGGAGATGGCCGGCTAGGTGTTGAACTTGAGGTAGGAGACAAGGGTGACGATGGTGTAGAATTGCCACTATGACTACTTGAAACTTCAAAAACTCCAGCCAAAGCAGTTGCAGAATTCTTTTTCTTCTTTCGCCGCCTCGCTTTCTCTTTTCCAATTTTGACAGTGAGATTACTGCTTTTGGAGGTTGCATTTGTATCAGCGCTCTGAATTGCTATAGACTTCGTAGAAGTTGACACTTCCAATCCCTTTTGGGTATTTGATAAACAGTTATATCCTGCACAATGATTCAGATTGTGATCAGTTACACCTTGATTTTCGGAGGCAGCTTGACTATCTTCAGATGTACCAAAACTTTCCAACAACAGTGCTTCACCTTCCCCAATTGATCTAAGCAAACCGTTCAATTTAGAGAAGACGAACTTGCCACTCTGTTTGTCACTGGGATGCATGCAAGACAATTTTCCAGCATGATCTGCAGATGCAATATAGCTTTTACCACTCTTGGGCAAGCACTCATGGGAGCCAAAGGCCACGAATTGGGGTATGATGCACCAAAGAACCAGAAAGAATAAAGAAGCTAGGAGAAGAATTGTGAACAGCAATTTTTTCACCTTCATCCAGAACAAAGACTTCTTGCAGAAATGAAGCACACAGATAGGAAGACTAGCTTTCATAGGTATAACAAGAATGCCAGTTGCCAAAGTCAGTTCAAGATCTCTCTGTATAGTGGCAACGGAAAAATCAGTATGATATGATATAACAAGCTTTATAGACTCCTCAGGTTCAAGAGAAAAGCCTTTACAACCATTTATTACAAACCCATCTGTTCCACACTTTGTTCCAGAGATTTCAATTTTTTTGACCTCCAGGGGAAAGTCACCCACGTTCTTTGCGCGAAGCTCTTTTGATAATGACAAAGAACACGCATGAGAATTATCCTTCATGTTATATAACACACTCGAAGAAGAGAGATTAAGAGGGGTTGGCATGTTTAATTTGAAGTCCAGGTTCTGTACAGGTTCAAACTCATCAAGCAAGACCAAAGAAAGCAACCCTCCAGATCCTCTGAGAGTTAACCACTCCACGCCAGTAAGATTGTTCCTGACCAAAGCTGAACTTTTCCACTGACATCGAGCTGCAGGTTGAAATAAAATGGGACCAAATGATGCTCTACCAAAAGGGTGAAGAAGAGCTTCAGTTACTGCATTCTCAGCTAGCGAAAACCCATATCTCCTAGGAGCAATAGAATAATTGCCAACTATTCTACTGGATAGAGAGGGCTGCAAATGGCTTCCTGAAGTCTTGCACTCATCAATAATTTCCCAGGAGTTCAGAACAAGCTGAACCAAGATTGGTTTTTGACTTGGGTTTTTTACTGTGATCCATTGAGAGTGATGACTTCCGACCTGAATCACTGGAAACACAATTTCACTTTCATCCAGTACAGACATGCCATTTGCAGTAGCTTGAGATTTCCAGTTCCTCAATACCAACTCATCTGCCACTGTTGTATCCACGGCCTACATGTTAAATGGATAAACATATCAACAATCAAGAGCTAATTATATATACAACTGTACTAAATGAAGGCGGCATACGACTAATACCATAATGACTGCAATCTCAACTACAAGTACATTCAGATAAACCATGGACAGAATTGGAGTTGTTTGAAAAAGCTTAAAAAGTGAAGTTTTACATGAAATAAATTCGGGTCAGAACTACAACTCCGCTGACATAGTAAAGACAGCTCATTATGCACAGTCCCAGCATTACTGCTAAATTCAGTGGGAGTAGTTACACTGATTCAAGCATAAGAAATCAATGAATAGCTTTTGATAATCATTACGGGCATATTTGCAGAAGAATTTCTTCCCTATTACGTATTTTTTAAAAACGCAAAGCGATAATAGAACTTTGCCAGAGGGGGAGAAAATTGTATCCAGCAACTTGAAATACGAACAGAACACACACAGTTCTTTTTCCACAAAAGTCCCTAATCAAATTGCGTAAAGACCAATCCAAAGTCAGAACAAAATTTACATCCTTGTGAATGAGAAAGTGGGTTCCAGTCCAAAAACAGAGATTGGAAACCAAGGTTATGGGCAAGGAAGCCTCTAGATGCAAGGAACAACCATGCCAATTTACATGAAACTAGTGTTTCTGATGGATTAATTTTAACACGCATATATCCTACTATAGATTAGGCAGAAAAACTGAGTCCCTGAATTATACTTTTTTTGAAGAGGCAAGCCCCTGAATTATACTTGATTTGGTATTGCATGGCTCCACCTTTCATATGTTACAGGTTATGCTGATAATCAAGGACTTCTATTCTACATACACAGATAATTTTAAGGACTTAGTTTGAGTTTCTTGCTACAGAATTTTCAGATGAAAACATCAATATAAATTCCAGTTGCCAGCAAAAAAACATCAAATAGGAAAAACACATATAAACTTAGATCTTTAACTCTTAAGAATTTGAACCCTGAAACTTCTAGAAGCTTGACAAATTATTTTTACTCATTTAAGTGTTTAAAAAATCCCCTGAAAAAGAGATGTTACACCCACAAAATTAGAGAGATAATAAAAACCAATGTCAGAATTCCAATACCTTGATTTCTGATGGTGAATGCATGCTGCTGCTGGAAGACATTGTTCTTGAATTTCCAAGTTCTACCTCGTCAGAGTATTCTCCATGACCAATAGAAGAGTCAAATTTACCTCCTGAACAAAGGCTTACTACATCCCAGCAAGCAACTTCAATGTCAGAAGTTCTCGAATCATTAGTTGTTATTAGCAATTTACAGTTCATGCTCCTCTCATAAGCTTGCAGCAGAGGATCAAGCAACTCAACAGCTGGGGGAGTGTAAGTGACAACAGCCACCTGCGTAACAGTGCTTGGAAAGAGTAGCAATCCCTCAACATATCTGATCCGAAAATGCTTGGTGTTTTCTCCAGTCTCACTTATCCTGACAATGCTCAATATATAAGGAGAATTATTTCTCACTGACAGAGCTACAAAACTAGTGCCATCAGCAGCACATGGTCCTACTATCTCAAAAGACAGAGAAAGTGGATCTGTGAGCTCACTAAAAGCTGAAGTCTTGTCCAGTTCTGCTTTGAGAGGAATAACAACTGTATCAGCTTTACCTTTGGAAGAGCTAAGCAACTGCAGAGAAAAGGCACCAAATATCTCACCCCCAGTATGACTAGGGAAATCTAATTCTATGATGGTCTCAGTTTTCTGAGGATCAATTTCCCAATTTCTATGGGGTTTAATTGCAATTAGAGGAATACCAACCTCACTACCCTTGATATCCAACCACTCCTTAACACCGAGCAAGCTGAAACTACTGTTTGAATCTTCACCTCTACTTACATTACAAATTGCCTTTGCATAACGGGTATTATCTCCCGAAGAAACAGAAGTCCAAATAGTTACCTTCTCCACATAGAGGGCTTCATTGTAAGGATTATACAATGAAATATTCTCACTCTGCCTTCCACCAGAGGAAATATCAAGACCGACTAAAGGCTGTATGCGATATGGGGATTCAACAGCAAAACCCTTCGCCTGAACAAAGAAACCACCAGAGCTTGTCTGCAAAACAAATTGCGCTGAAGAGAGACCCAACCATGTAGGCAAAAACACAAAACAAATTGACGCAGTTTCACCAGGTGCCAACAACGTTTCACTGAAATTGCAAGGGTAAAACTGAGAATTGGTTCCATAAGGTTCAAATATAGTCAGTGTGCTGTCCCTGCGAGTATTTTTAACAGTAAGAAAAGCTAATGAAGGACGATATAAATACTTCTCCCCCCAGTCCAGCACAGGGGGATTGATTTCTACATGAGGGGAAGAACCACCCAAAAACTTGAACCTGGTTGTCTCGTCTTCCCCTTTTGGTTTCAAATTTTGATGTTTATCATCAGACAAAGGTCCTCCACCAAAAGAAACACCATTTTCTCTATTCCTTCTTATACAACCACAAGGCAATTCGCCGTAACACTCCTGGTAACTCAGATAGCAAGAAATTGTTCTTCCACCCAAGAACTTGAAAATACAAGAATCAGACGACCTACTAATATTTGTATTCTCTTCATCTGATCCTACAGGGAAAGCAACATCGGATTGAACCCCAGAAACTTCTTCGACTTGTGATTGCGCATTCTTCTCTTCAGACAAAAAACCACGCAATCTTGGAGGAAAGCAAAATAAGTCAGTATGTGAACACTCGCTATCAGGACTTTGGCGAGGGACGGGATTCTCGAGAACGAATCCGGGTGACAAATCACCAGTAAAGTCATCCTCGAACTCAGAATCGTCATTGGCTCTGTAGGACATAAATGTATCATAGTCTGCTTGATTTTGCATTCCCTTCATTGAACATGGTTCACCTTTGGCCAGAATAACGATGATATGGAACAGAACCATCAAAAAACAAAATGCCTCACCATGGTGAAATACTCTCCTGAAGAAATTACTAATACAGATTAATAGCTGACTAAGAACATAGAACATAAAACATCATCCACACGAAAAAAGACAAACTTTAGACAGCAATTTGGCAGGTCAGAGGTAAACACACGTTCCTAGGAATATTCCATAATCACAAGCACAACATCAACAACAGTAAGAACATGAACAACACCTCAATCCCAAACTAGGAGTCTACTATTTAAAAGAAAAAAAAACTACTTTGGGAATGAAAAGAATAGCATAAGAGAAAATCAAACAATAAAAATAGAAAACATAGTGGCCTAGGGTCAATGAAGTGGGAGAACCATAAGGTCCCAGGTTCAAATCCTAGCATAGACAACAAAATACTAGGTGATTTATTCCCATCCGCCTAAACCTTGGTAGGGAGAGTTACCCGGTACCTATACTGGTTGGAGGTTGCAGGTGCAACGATCGAACTTGTGCCTCAATCACCTCCGTCAAAAAATGAAAACAACGTTTCCCATACAAAAGACTACAAAACGCTGATGATACGAGCAAATGCCTCACATTTCAGTTGCCTTATTAAATACACAAGTAAAACAATTGCTCCTAAAATAGTAATAGTAGCTAATTAAGTAAATGTAGGCAAAGAAAGCTCGCAAAATTGCTATATATACGAAAGATCTCATCAATCTTATTCATTCATATGTTTTAGATGTTCATTCATTAACCAAACTTACATAAATAGGCAATCAAATCTCCAAAATAAGAAGAAAAACAAATTACACTCTAAAAATGAAAACATTAACATGAAAAAGTAACATAGGGCAAACATAATCGGCCGAACGGAAAATAAAGGGGCAAGGAGTTACCCGCGGCGGAACATGTTAAAGAGCTGATGTGGAGCTTCAATCATTAGGGTTTGAGGATCTATTGATGGGGAGAGAAAAAGAACATGAGAGAAATCTTTTTGCTTGTTTCTGATGATTCTTTTATGGTGGCTAGGGCTTTATAGTTTTTATCGATTGGATTTTAGGCCCAAAAACAAAGTCTATTGGAGTATAAAGAAAACATTAATGACAACTCAATCCAAACTAGTAGGAGTCTACTATTTCCCAAAAAAAAAAGGCACCAATTTTGGGAATGAAAAGAAGATATATGGGACAATCTAATAATAAAAATAGAAAACATATAAAGATGACGATTTACAATGTCTCCCATGCAAGGTGTGATCTGGTGGTCAATGAAGTGGGACGATAACCATGAGGTCTCAGGTTCAAATCCCAGCGGCGATAAAAAACTAGGTGATTTCTTTCCATCTGTCTAAGCCTTGATGCACAGAGTTACCGGGTGCATGTGCTGGTGGGAGATAGTAGGTACCATTTGTAATAGTCGAGGTGTACACAAGCTGGCTCTGAGACCTTCGTCATAGAACAAAGTTTAAGTTCTATGTGTGAAAAAAGTATCTACATAATCAAGTTACTAGTTAAATAATTACAAGTACATTTCTTCATAAACATTAATTCACATTTCACAATGTAGTAAAAATGATAACTAACCTATTATATCACAAGTTAATATTCAGTTGAAGTGTAAAAACACTTTTTTTTATTGTCGGCGAATATTACTTGAATCTTTAAAAAATAACATTTTCCGCACAAAAAACTACAAAACACTAATGATACGAGATAATGTTTCATACTTCAGTTGTCTTATTAAATATACAAGTAAAACAATTGCTCCTATAGTAGTACAACAACGACAACAACAACAACAAACCTAGTATTTTCCCACAAAGTAGGGTCTGGGGAGGGTAAGATATACGCAGCCTTACCCCTACCCCTGGAAGGGCAGAGAGATTGTTTCCAATAGACCCACGGCAATTGCTCCTATAGTAGTAATAGTAGTTAATTAAGTAAATAAAGTATTTTATTCGTTCATAGCTTTTGCATATTCATTCATTAACCAAACATACACAACTATTACATGGGCGGTAGCACTGTAATGGCGGAGCCAGGATTTCCACCTAGTGGATTCAGCAAAATAAAAAAGTAAACACGAGAAAAAATAAAGGGGATTCAACACCTAATATATATACATAAAAAGATTTTTGACCTTATATATGCAGACTAATTTTCCGGCGAAGGTGGTTCGATTGAACCCTCTTCTGCTACCCTACCTCCGCCCATTATCAAGTACGCGGCGTAATAGTCGAAGTATGCACAAGCTGGCCCAGATACTTCGGTCAATAAAAAAAATATTTTTCCATACAAAAACTACAAAACGCTAATAATACGAGCTAAAGCCTCATACTTCAGCTGTCTTATTAAATACACAAGTAAAACAATTGCTCCTAAAGTAGTAATAGTAGTTAATTAAGTAAATGAAGTAAAACAAAGCTCGAAACACAATCTTATATATTCATAGCTTTTGCATGTTCATTAATTAACCAAAACATACAATAAATAAGCATTCAGAGCTCCAAAATGATAAAAATAACATATTACGCACTAAAAGTAATAATCGAACAAATAGAAAATAAAGCGGCGGCGAGGAGTTACCGGCGGCGGGAGATGTTAAAGAGCTGATGTGGAGCTCCGATCATTATTAGGGTTTGAGAATCCATTGACGAGAAGAGAAAAAAAAAATTGAGTGGAAAAAAAAATTTTGATAATTTGTGATGGTGGCTAGGGCTTTGTAAATTTTTTACCGATTGGATTTTCGGGCCCAAAAATAAAAAAGAAGATAGTGAGTATATTGTAGCAGAAAGAAAAACAACAGAAGCAGGGACAGGGTACACCTGATAACAACCCCCCCCCCCCCCCCCTCGAGAATGAATGGCCTCGAAGAACGAACGAGGAGCAAAAAAAAACTGAAAAAACTGAGAAAATGACTCTTCAAGGAACAAAATTACTTAACTACCCACAGCTAAAGAATAATTTCTATTTCTATTACTATTTCCTTTTTAGTGGAATGATATCATCACGGGCAAATTACACGGCCGGTTGACCAAAAATAAATATATTAGCTAAGTAAGTATGCAAAAATATATAGTAATTATGTATAAATTATATAAAATATATTTTATCGGCTATTATTTCTTGGAGCTGTTATGCACTATAATTTTTTTTATCACATTAATCACTATGAATAATTAGAATCCAGCTATCTAAAATTAGAGATCTCGAATTCGAGAATGTGATGCAAAACTTCTTTCTTAGAGAGTATTTTATCCCATAGAGAGCTTATCTAATGTGAATTTGAATCATCGGACCAGTAGCATTTGGATACAGAATGTTAGACCAAAGACAAAAAGAATAATATTTTTAAATATTTAAAAGTAATTTATTTAAATTTCTTATTTATTACTATTAATAACATATTTTTATAGCCACATAATTGTTCTCACGTATTTAAGCCAACAATTTTTATGCAGTCTTTTATTTCTTAAACTTTTATGAAGTCAAACAAGACCACATAAAATTGTACGGAAAAAGTAGTTTTTTCGTTTTGACATCAAAATTTATATTTTAAGAATTACACGTGATAATATTTATAATTAAGCAATTAAAAATAAGTCAAAAATCATATTTTATCTGTCTTTCAAATAATAATGCTACCATTACAGGTAATACACGAAGGCTAATGACGATTCTTCAGAAATGTTATGCACTAAGCAGTAAGGCGTTGAAAGGAATATTGAAGACATTTTTTTCATTCGATGAATTACTCCCTTCGTCCTAAAGATGATGGATTGACATCACTATAAGTGAATTTGGATATTAAATTTTACGTTTTTGAAAGTTTTAAATTTTAAAGTACACAAAAATATGTAAATTTAGTTGAACAATCGTAACTCAAGAAAACAAATTGTGAATCTTAGTGGGCTTTTGGACATAAGAATTGTAAAATTTCAAAAAAAAAAAAAGTGAAAATGATATTTGAAAATTAGAGTTGTGTTTGGACATGAATATAATTTTGGGTTGTTTTTGAAGTTTTGTGAGTGATCTGATTGAAAGTTTTGAAAAGTAGCTTTTTGGAGTTTTTCAAATTTTCGAAAAAATTTCAGAATTAATCTTCAAGTGAAAATTGAAAATTTTATGGCCGAACACCAATTTCGAAAAAAAAAGTGAAAAAATTTCGAAAAAATAAAAAAATTCTTATGTCCAAACGGGATCTTAAAGTAATAATACAAACAATGCTTCACTTTCTTTTTTTTTAAAAAGGCACGTAAAGGCGAAATTTTCATATATAGTATTTACACAAAAGCATATTAATTTATTATTATTATAAATTCAAAATAAAAATTATATATATTTGTTAATATAATTTGATAATATATCTAAGTTATACACATATATATTTGTCTGGTATTTATTAATTTTTAATATAAATATCAAATGCGTATTGAAGCGTGAGTCTATAGGCCCCGTTTGGCCATGAGTTTTGCCAAAATAAATTTGAGATTTATTTTCAAAACTCGTGTTTGGCCATAATTTTGCCCATATTTTGGCCAAATCCCAAATTGCAAATTTCAAATCCCAAAATCAGCTATTGAGCTGAATTTGGGCCAAAATCTCAAAACTTGGGAATTATATACATGTTTTTCCAAAATAAAGTTGAAAAATATGTTTTGAAAATGTATGTCCAAACACATTTTCATCTTCAAATAAAATTTTACCCAAATCAGATTTTTCAAAATAAATTTGGGATCTATGGCCAAACGCTAACTTAAAAAGATTCGTGCCCCTTTGATGTACGGCTACTTTGAGGAAACGGTTAAGTGACAACTGTGCCTAGGGGCCCCAAATATGTGTCGAGTCTCCAGCACCATATAGCGGCGTTCAACATTTTGAAGGGCAATGAAAATGTCCTAGTCACTAACTTTTCGAGGGAAAATGGGAAAAATAATATAGCTACCCTTCTCAGAATAAAATAGAGTTGTTGGTATGGGCCGGGCCAGGTTATCCCAGCTTAATTCACGTGAGCTTCGGCAATTGACGGGTTGGGTTGGATGGTAAACCCACCTCAGTCCTATGTAGGCCGTGGGTTCCCATGGGTCGGTCCCATCATTTTTTAAAATATAATTTTATATTTTTTTCTTTAAATTCTAACCTAAAAAAGATAAACATTCAAAAGTTATAAAATATTTTATTGGAAACATTTTACAAAACTTAATAACTTTTTATATTGTTCCAATATATAACAATAAACACTAAAAAAGTAAAAGACACGACTATATTTCATTCACTAAAATCAAAACTCAAAACAAACTATTCAATAGAACGTCCATGACGCTTTTTGGATATCCAACACATCATCTTCATCAAACACATTTGAATCCGCTTGTGACAAGATTGTCTTAACATCTTCACTTTCATCTACTTTTACAATTCATATGCAATATTAATTAGTTAAATATTAAGAATGATAAAATTTTAAATACTATTCAAATTCACATAAAAAAATATTACCAGTTTGAGTTTGGGAAAAGTCGTATAGCCAATTTCGAATAGTAACAATTGTTTGGACATTTTCATGACGTATGCAATTTCTTTACTTTGTCAGAACACGCACTCCCCCCCCCCCACCCCCCCAACCCCAATGCTAAATGTTGATTCCGATGCTACAGTAGTAATAGGAATACTAAGTGCATCACGTGCCGTCACTGGAAGATCGAGATATTTTCTAAAATAGTCCTTCCAATACATGACAACATCCTTCTCTTGAAACTTTTCAAGATTAAGCTCTAGTTCCTCTAAATAAAGATTTAATTTTG